CGGAGCCGGAGGTTCTTCGTCCTCTTAGCTATTTCTTCGACGTTCTTGAAGGCGTTCCAAGCCGCTCTCTTCCTCCTGCGCAGCTCGGGTGCCAGGTCATTTCTCATGTTGACCTCTCGACCTAGGTACACATAGCTGTTGCATTCAGAGATGGTCGTTCCATTGAGAGCGAATGGGGCGTCAGGAACAAGGCTGTTTCTCATAAACATTGTCTTCGTAAGATTCAGCTGTAGTCCTACCTTTCCACACTCACGGTCAAAGTCGGCCAGCATTTGTGCCGCTTGGCTGATGTTTGGTGTTATTAAAACAATGTCATCAGCAAAGCGGAGGTGGTGTAGTTGCCGACCATCTATCTTCACTCCCATTCCTTCCCATTCCAGTCGTCGCATGATGTTCTCGAGGGTGGCACTGAAGAGTTTCGGTGAAATGGTATCACCCTGCCGCACCCCTCTCTTGACATCAACGATCACTTCTTTGTAGAATGGTGAGATCCTGGTAGTGAATCCGCAATACAGCTCACGGAGGATCCTGATATATTGGGCTTGAATGCCCTGATTGGCTAGGGCTTCAATGACCGCTTCCGTCTCAACAGAATCAAAGGCCTTCTTTAAATCAATGAACGTTAAGCAGAGCGGCATCTTGAACTCCCGAGAAACCTCAATGAGTTTGGTTATCGTGTGGATATGGTCGATGGTGCTGAATCCTTTGCGGAACCCTGCTTGCTCACATGGTTGTCCTTCATCTAGTGTTCTGCCAATCCTATTCAGGATGACTCGAGTGAACAACTTGTAGATGACAGACAATAGGCAGATCGGGCGATAGTTGCCAATGTCATGGATGTCTCCCTTCTTGAACAGTAGTACGGTCCTGCTGGTTTTCCATTGAGATGGAACCTTGCATTCAGACAGTACTTCCACTACCCAGCCGTCGCCACACTCCAGGACGCTTTCTGGACCCGCGCGGCAGCTCCGGCCGAGACCCACGCACAACTGAAGACCCACAGAACAAGGTAAGCGGAACTCTCTGAGACCTTGGACTCCAGGCTCGGTGGACCCAGGGACAGAGCTTCTCTGCTTGCTCCCACCACCACAGGTGACAAAGGGATTCTAATCAGGAGCCCCACCCTACCCTGCCCTGTCTGCTTCCATCAACCACCCAGGGATCGAATTGTGCACAGGAGACCCACCCTACCCAGATAAATACCCCACTGGCAGACTTCCACTCTCGACACTACTTCCACTACCCAGCCGTCGCCACACTCCAGGACGCTTTCCGGACCCGCGCGGCAGCTCCGGCCGAGACCCACGCACAACTGAAGACCCACAGAACAAGGTGACAAAGGGATTCTAATCAGGAGCCCCACCCTACCCTGCCCTGTCTGCTTCCATCAACCACCCAGGGATCGAATTGTGCACAGGAGACCCACCCTACCCAGATAAATACCCCACTGGCAGACTTCCACTCTCGACACTACTTCCACTACCCAGCCGTCGCCACACTCCAGGACGCTTTCCGGACCCGCGCGGCAGCTCCGGCCGAGACCCACGCACAACTGAAGACCCACAGAACAAGGTGACAAAGGGATTCTAATCAGGAGCCCCACCCTACCCTGCCCTGTCTGCTTCCATCAACCACCCAGGGATCGAATTGTGCACAGGAGACCCACCCTACCCAGATAAATACCCCACTGGCAGACTTCCACTCTCGACACTACTTCCACTACCCAGCCGTCGCCACACTCCAGGACGCTTTCCGGACCCGCGCGGCAGCTCCGGCCGAGACCCACGCACAACTGAAGACCCACAGAACAAGGTGACAAAGGGATTCTAATCAGGAGCCCCACCCTACCCTGCCCTGTCTGCTTCCATCAACCACCCAGGGATCGAATTGTGCACAGGAGACCCACCCTACCCAGATAAATACCCCACTGGCAGACTTCCACTCTCGACACTACTTCCACTACCCAGCCGTCGCCACACTCCAGGACGCTTTCCGGACCCGCGCGGCAGCTCCGGCCGAGACCCACGCACAACTGAAGACCCACAGAACAAGGTGACAAAGGGATTCTAATCAGGAGCCCCACCCTACCCTGCCCTGTCTGCTTCCATCAACCACCCAGGGATCGAATTGTGCACAGGAGACCCACCCTACCCAGATAAATACCCCACTGGCAGACTTCCACTCTCGACACTACTTCCACTACCCAGCCGTCGCCACACTCCAGGACGCTTTCCGGACCCGCGCGGCAGCTCCGGCCGAGACCCACGCACAACTGAAGACCCACAGAACAAGGTGACAAAGGGATTCTAATCAGGAGCCCCACCCTACCCTGCCCTGTCTGCTTCCATCAACCACCCAGGGATCGAATTGTGCACAGGAGACCCACCCTACCCAGATAAATACCCCACTGGCAGACTTCCACTCTCGACACTACTTCCACTACCCAGCCGTCGCCACACTCCAGGACGCTTTCCGGACCCGCGCGGCCGCAAGCGGCCGCGCGACACATCATAAGTCACTAAATACCCGTCTTCTGGAATTGTCGTACCATATTTGATAGGGTTCAAATATGGTAACACCTACAAGGGTGATTAGAGGTCACCCCAAAAGCCTCTATACCTCTCGGAAAGACTGGCAAGCTACCGAGAGTATTCCGCCCGCACGGAAGAGCCTGGCAAGCTATCCGCTGTGTATTCGATATGCCAAAACCAGTAACTACAACTGGTCTCATTCACCTGACCCTGAAGGCTTCACCGACATGGCAGCACTGAGAAGGATGAGAAAGGAGAGGCCGACAAAATCTCAAGGCCGACCTAGGCTGCCACAACGAAGAAAGACAAAAATGATCGTCTGTACTTTCAATGCACGTACGCTAGCATCAGATGCATCCATCGAGGACCTGATGGTACAAGCGCGAATGATCAAGTACGACATCATTGGTCTGACCGAGACAAGAAGACACGAATCTCACCATGCCGTTTTCGACACTGGAGAAGAATTGTTCCTCGGAACATGTGATAAAAGAGGTGTTGGAGGCGTCGGTGTCCTTATCAACACAAACTTGGCCAAGAGCATTGATTCATTCGAATGCCTAACAACCCGAATCGGACGTTTACATTTGAATAGATGTGGCTCACTGCCTGCAGTTTCTATCTTCGTTGTCTATGCACCAACATCTCATTATGATGAAAGAGAAATCGAGAAGTTCTACATGGAGCTAGAGAAGTTCTATAAAGAAGACCACACCTTCTACAAGATCATTGTGGGTGATTTTAATGCCAAGATAGGACCGAGAAGATCAGCTGAAGAACTTCACATCGGAACCCATGGCCTAGAATGGAACGAACAGGGTGAGAGACTGTCTGAGTTCATCATGTCGACCAAGACCATTCATGGTAACTCACAGTTCCAGAAGGCAGAATCTAAACGATGGACATGGGAGTCTCCCGGTGGACGATTCCACAACGAAATAGACCACATCATATTCAATCGACGGTTTTGCCTGACTGATGTCGCTGTTGTCCCAAAATTTCGAACGGGATCGGACCACCGTCTCCTTCGTGCAAAATTCTACTTCACAGAGCGGGGAGAAAGGGCTGCAAAGTTCAAAAAGAGAACTCCCAGAACGACCACCAACTGGGAACTCTTTGGTACTATTGCGGCAACATGGGAAGATGCCATTGTTGACAACATTGACGAGGAATACGATCGACTGGTTCAGCACCTCCATGAATGTGCGAGGAATGCCAAGAGAGAGATAGCCACAAAAAGTCGCCTATCTTCGAAAACTCTTGAGCTAATTCGCCAGCGTGGTTTGGCGCATGCCTCAGGCAACCGCAAGCTAACGTCCGAGCTTGCAAAGCAGTGCAGAGATGCGATCAAGGAAGACCTCAAAGAGAGAAGAGCAGAAGTACTGGTAGATGCGGCAGAAGCCAGGAAAAGTATTCGTAAGGCCCGCCTGTCGTTCGCCAACTATAAGACCAAGATGACTGCCCTCCGACGTCCTGATGGATCCATCACATCCTCCAGAACGGCAATGGAGAAGATTATCCATGACTTCTACTCAAATCTCTTCGATAGCCATGTCCACTTGCCGACATACCAAATTCCACAGGATGGGTATGTCGTTCCCAACGTTCTCCCTTCCGAAATCCGACACGCCATTTCGTCAGTAAAGAAGCAAACAGCACCCGGCCCAGACAAGGTCAGACCTGAACACCTGAAGAACCTGCCGTCAGTACTCATCAATACACTGGCTCGGCTCTTCACTCGCTACCATTATATTTATCCAATGATAAATATAATGGGCATACTGCCTAATTATAGCATGCAGACTTATCTTTATTCTGATTAAAAATCAACCAAGTTTTAAGACCATTTAATTTTTGCTGGTATTTTACTGAAGAAAGGGTTAGTTATTAAGTTTTGGGTTTTTACTGATTGTATCTCATGATGTTTAATATTTCTAACATATTATTATATTTAAACATATGGTACTTAAAATTTTTTGTTTCTTTAGGCATCGTGTTAAGGTTTTAGGCAGACAATGTAATACCACAGCCACCATCAGAGTGTTAGGGTCCTTCCACTACTATTTCTCAGACCTCTCCATACCCCACATGTGGCATTTTTGTTCTGTAAGCTTTCTCTCAGGGTCTGTTGCCATTGCTATTGTTTGTTTATTCCTTTACTGTGTTTATTATACTCTTTAAACAATAAACAAATTTTTGTTAAGGAAAATGCTTAATACTTGGTTGTTAAGGAGTGAAATATTTTAGTTATATAAACACGAAGGGGCGGATTTGATGTTAATAAGCCTCAAAAAGTAGATAGATTTTTAAAGCTTCATGTTTTACCTCTGTGTTTTTTAGATAATGTTATAAGATTTGTTGCCATTTTAAAAAGTGAAATGATAGAATATAAAAGTATAGCAAGACTAGATACTAGGTTGATTTCAGTTAAAATAACATTTTTATCAACTGTTTTCATTTATAAAACAGATACCAGGTGATCAGTACTCCTACAGATTTTTTTATGGTAATGGAATATGTGTCTGGTGGTGAATTATTTGACTACATCTGTAAACATGGACGGGTGAGTAACATTCTGTTCTGGTACTATAAATCCTTGCCCCAAAAGAGAGAAAAGCAGTGACAAATAGCATATCGCAAAGGTATCTCCAGGCTGCCACTAAACATGGAGTATACCTCTTTCTTTCTTTTTTCTTTTTTCTTTCTTTCTTTCTTTCTTTCTTTCTTTCTCTCTCTTTCTTTCTCTCTCTCTCTTTCTTTCTCTCTCTTTCCCTCCCTCCCTCCCTCCCTCCCTCCCTCCCTTCCTTCTTTCCTTCCTTCCTTCCTTCCTTCCTTCCTTCCTTCCTTCCTTCCTTTCTCTTTCTTTCTGCTTAAAATTCCACCTTTTGAATTACTAATTTTAGGAAATGTTTATACTTAATTGCCAACATGATATCTATACTTTTCCCAATGAAAAATATGTTCCAAAATACTATGTTGAAATTTTGGGTATTTCTCTTTCTTAGCACTTTCATCTAAGTTTTGTTTTGTATTATATTTTGCTTGCTGATTTTCTAAATCTTTGTGCCCATTTAGTGCTATTAATTAAAAACATTATTACTACTTAGTAATAAAGAAAACCATTGATAAACTATGATGTTTAAATTTATGATGTTTAACATCATTGATAAACTATGATGTTAAATGTTTATCTTATTCTGAGAATTCTAACACAACTCTTAACAGTTTTTGTAGGAATTTTTAGGCTGATTTTGAGACAAAAGATCTTGCTTTTTAGATGTTCCCAAATTCTTAGTACAGCTTCTTTTTTATTTGATAGGTTGAAGAGATGGAGGCCAGGCGACTTTTTCAGCAGATTCTTTCCGCTGTGGATTATTGCCATAGGCATATGGTTGTTCACAGAGATCTGAAACCAGAAAATGTACTATTGGATGCACATATGAATGCCAAGATAGCTGACTTTGGTATGCAACTCTAGGCTTGTTCAGAAACTCCAGGTAGCCTTTCAAAGAGGGTAACAGTTCTTAAAAAATAAGAACTTGCAGTTTCAACACCTTAAAAAGGGATGTTACCTAGTCTACTTTCTAGCTTATTCTATTGACTTAAATATACTTAAAAAATGTATCTTTCTCTGGAGAAGTTAGAGGATAGCACCAAGGTCAGTCCATTCAATCTGTATTTCCGCTTAAGGAAATATTTAACTTTTGTGTGTGAATTTCATAAACTCCATGGAAAATGTAATGAGAATGTGGGTATTTTTTTCCTGATGAAAGTTAGTGAACAGAGGTAAACGACCTATACATGCAGTTTTGGAGCTTTGTAGCTTTTCTGACTTGATCAAGAAAGATGTTAAAAGAGCTCAGGGCCACAGCATGGTTAAAAAAGTGAGAATTTGTCAGGGTTAAACTAAAAGACAAAAATGTCTATTTTAGGCAATACTTTGGGGAGGAGGGCATTAACATATCAGGATAGGATATCATGTAGCATATCCGATAAAAGACTTAGGAGAACAGAGGTTGTGGAAAGAGAGATAGAAGGTTGCCAGAGTTTGGTGTTGCTTATTTAAAAAATATTTTTGGAGAACTGGGGCTCTACTTGGTGTGGTGCCTGGGGAAGGGAGAAGAGGTCCAGGTAGATACTCCCAGTGGCACTCAGGGGACCATGTGGTACCAGGAATTGAACCCAAGGCTGTCATATGCAAAGCATGTGACTTTGTCATTTGAGCCATTCCTCCATGGCCTTTATTTAAAATATTTATGTGATACATTGCCATTAATCAAGAAGCTAGGGAACTTGTTCTTCTATCCTTTTTTTAGACCAGGGTGGATTTCCTCATCCTTCTCTGATTCACAGAGCTTTGTTTAGTACCAGATCCAACTGATTTTTCATTTGATATATCACTTTTTCTCTGCTGAACCAAAGCTTTCCAAACCGAAAAACTTTTGGAATGTAATATTTATGAATTGGAGTCTGTCTGCTTTCTATGTAGGGATTCTTTCTATTAAAGATATTTGAAAGCATGGTATAAAAAAAGTATTAGTCTTTATTTTTCCAACAATGGAGATAGATGAATAATATTTTGATGTGTTTATGTATGTGGAATTTCATATAATTTGGAGTGACCTCATATTTATGAAGTGTTCTAGCATTTTTCTATAGGAGATGAATTTGACTATCTTTTGAAAAATCATCGTATAGGTAAATACTGTGGAATGTTTTTTTTTCTGGTCTAACAAATGCTTTTCGTTGCTTTAAAAATAATGTATGAAACATTGAAGACTTTCTTTTTCTTATAATATGTTTATCTAAATCTACTTTAAAATATCTGGTAGGTAAAAATTACTCTTATTTTTAGGGTTATCTAATATGATGTCAGATGGTGAATTTTTGCGAACTAGTTGTGGATCTCCAAATTATGCAGCACCTGAAGTCATCTCAGGCAGGTAATATAATTAAGTACGCCGAGTGCTTTTCAATATTTTGTGTTTGGAAGAATGAGATTGGGATGGGGAATAGTTAATGCAATTTTATGTAATTAAACCCTTCACAAGGAGATAGCAATTAATTATGAAGCTTATACATAAGCATAATTTTAAAATGTTTATACAGATTTCAGTGATAAACTTGTCTGAAAATTTTAGAGATTCTGAGAGAAAATATAGAAAAGGTATTGTATGTAGCAGATACAGGGCAAACATAGTAGCCTCCTTGTGAAATGGGTCATATTCTTTTAATTGGAATTGTATTTACTTCATTGCCTCAGGCCTGTGATTGAAATTGGTAGTTTGCAATCAAGGGAATTTTAATAGTGTAGAAAGGTGAGAGGATTAAAAAAGAATGACATTTTATGTCAGTTATCTGGGACTCTTCTTAGTGCTGGGAGCTACCAATAATTAGAATGGGAAAAAAAGCTCTGTGTACTTACGGTAATATGATACAGGATAAATACTAGCAAAGAGATTGCCACAGGACTATTCAGCTACTTTACTGTTTAAAATATTCAATAAAATAGGTCATGGATAAAATGATGTATGAATTTTTCTTTCTTGTAGTTTTACAACAAAAATGTTCAACTTACCTACTATATCGTTTAATTTTATGGTCACCTACTTTGTTGTATTCTGCTAATAATTGCTGGAGCTATAAGAAGTACAAATATTGCCATTTACAACAACACGGATGAACCGAGAGATCATCATACTTAGTGGAAAAAACAGATAGAGAACAAACATTGTACAATTTTACTAACATGTAGTATTTAGAGAAAGCAAACAGATGAACTAAATCAAACCAAAACCCAACAGATTTCTGGAGTATAAGACCAGTTGGTGATTACCAAAAAGGAGGGGGGTGTTGTAAACCAGTACAAATGATAGTGAAGGGTAAAATTGGACTTGATTTTCAGTGATGCACATTTGAAACTAATATTATAATGCATAGTTACTTCGATAAAATATTAGAGACAGAATTAGTTTATTATTTAGACTATTACTTTAAGTGAACTCAAAATAAATAAAATGACATTTTCTCCTGGCTAACTAAATTGTTCTCTTGAGGAAAGAAGCATTAAAAAAATAATTATTCTACTTGCAAAAGAATGTTGGGAATTGGCCATGAACGTTGTTTAAAATTTCGGAAATCAGTACCTAATCTGGTCTGCACTGCGTATATCTAAAAATCAGGTGCATGTAGATGATAAAAGTGACAGTTGTATTTCTAATTTGTGTTATCATCTTCTCTTAGACTCTATGCAGGCCCTGAAGTGGATATCTGGAGCTGTGGTGTGATTTTGTATGCTCTCCTCTGTGGCACTCTCCCATTTGATGATGAACATGTACCCACGCTATTTAAGAAGATCAGAGGGGGTGTTTTTTATATTCCAGAATATCTCAACCGTTCTGTTGCCACTCTTCTGATGCATATGCTGCAGGTTGACCCTCTGAAACGAGCAACTATCAAAGATATAAGGTGATTTTTCTTTTCATTATTGTAATGCTTATCTTCTAGTATTTAAATGCTTCGCCACAAAGCTTATATTAGGCTCTGTAATCTTTGTTTCACAAAAAGTTTTTCTTTCTTATTTCACAATTCAAATCATTTCGCTCATCTTTTAAATATAACCCAAGTTAGCTATGTGCAAGGCACGTGTCTTACCTGCCTTATTATCTTTCCAGCCCCCTTTTATGCTTCTTTTTCGATGAATACATATTCATCTTTCAAAATTCTGCTCACATGTCACCTGTTAAATTATTCTGATTTCTTATGGCAATATTTAATTTCTTCTATTTAAATATATCTTTTATCTTTTATAATTTTAACAATAATTATAGTGGCCTTCCAGTGTATCTTCTGTCTCTTAAAAATTTAAGGTTAGTGGCTAGAGTGGTAGTATGAGGGTCAAAGTGGTCACCTTGCATGTCATCCTACACCCTGGCTTAATCCAAAGCATCCATAATGGTCCTCCGAGCACTGTAGGAGTGCTCCTTGAGCACAGAGCTAGGAGTAATCTTAGTGTGGCCTCAAACAAAAAAAATTGTACTTCATAAGGGTAGAGAGGATATGCATAGAATGAAGCATGTCATATAAAGTATTTGAAAATATTTCAACTATAAAAATGGGGTGAGATTCATATTGTTTATATATGGTTGATGAGATAAAGCATAAAAGTTTTGGTATGTTTTTGAATCCAAAAATAGCTTCTAGTCAGTTGGCTGTGAAGGGGTCCTTGTTATATGAGAAAATTTGAAGTCTAGTTGTTGGTTCACTATGGCTATTACGGCGTTCCGTACCCCAGTAGGATTTTCTATTGCCTTTTTCCTATTCCTTTGAGATTTTCTTATTCTTACCTAATATTTCATCAGGTAAATATTTACAGTGTGCTTTCTTCATGTCTTCTAGAACCTTCTTTTCATAAGTCAGAATGACTGTACTCTGTAAATATTGGCTCCTTGGATAGTGATAGTTGTTGACAGCTGCGTATCTTTTTTTTTTTATTTTTGAGTCACACCTGGTGATGCATAGGGGTTACTCCTGGTTCTGCACTCAGAAATTACCCCTCGCGGTGCTCAGGGGACCATATGGGATGCTGGGAATTGAACCTGGGTCGGCTATGTGCAAAGCAAACACCCTACCCACTGTGCTATTGCTCCAGCCCCATGCTTATCTTTTTTGCATCAAGGGTGATTCCTTTGTAGTCTTATAGTCTTTTGTTGCCCCAGTCTTTCTTTAGTATTCAGGCCTCACACATAAAAATATAAAAGTGCATAAAAGGACCATGTCCACATCTCAGACCCTCTGCTTACTTCTACACCCTTCCAGGTGAAGTTAACCTCCCAGCTTCTGTGTTATTGTGTTTTTTCTGTTATTTGTTTCTTGAGTTTAGTTGATTTCTATGTGACTTTGTCATCTCATTGGATGAGCTCCTGCTAGATTCAGTATTATGGAATTTGGAGAAGTCAAGTCATAAGTAATTTTGGAAATTATTAACACAGAGGAGGATGTGTCCATGAAGTTTAGCTGCTGGCCTTGCATCTTCTTGATGCTAATCATGAATCAGAAGAGCAGGACCAGTGGGTGACTCGACATATGCAGCCTTGTGGTCCAGAAACTTCTGGATCTATAGAACTGAACAGATGAATTGACAGGGTGGAGGCTGTGCGAGCTGGACATGGCTGCTGGGACTTCTGGAAGTATGGGAGATGGGGAGAGGCTGCTGCCCCCACTCCAAGAAGACCCCAGAGTTTTCAGCCTGAACACCAAGTGCCTGGAATCTTTAAGGTTTGGTGTCTCTGCAGAGATCACTAGCAAAACAGTGGAATTGGGCCTTTGGTTTGGTGGTAGTGGTGGGGTGTGGGTGTGGCTGCTGAAGCTTCCACAGGACGGGTACTTGGCCTGCCCTCCCAAGGGTGACCCAGAGTTTTCAGCTGGGAGGCTGATGTGTTTATAAATATTAGCTGCGTGGATTGCATCTCCTCAGAGATTTAGTCATGAATCGGAAGAGCAGGGCCAGTGAGTGACTTAACATGGTGATAATCTATCGAAAAAAAAAATTTAACCAACTTGTCACTGATTTACAGTTCTCTCGAATTGTAGGAGTTTAGCTTTATTCATCTGTATGTGTGGAGGTGTCACCACCTCCGTAATAAAGTTTAAAGAAGAAAGTCCCTCAAAAAATATAGTGTAAATGAGCACCAGATTTAATTATGGAAATAAATTTGAGGAGAACCATTTATATTCATAGTTCTTTAGAGTAGCTCACTTAATTAGCTTCTCAGAAGGAAAATTAGGTATTTTGATGTAAATATATACTTTTGCCTGTTTGTATACACACATACATTTAGAATAGTAAAATGAGGGAGTTTATTTTAGAACAGATATTTATTTATAGGGTTTAGAAGGAAAATGAAAATAAAAGTCTGCTAGGGTAAGTTTTATTTACACAAATGTTGGGTGGTATAAAGGATTAATATTTCTATACTTAAAATAATGCAATAACTTGAATGATAATTCTCATCATTTTAAAGTGTATACATTTCAGGGTTTCTTATGGGGATGGCTTCCAAGTGGTACACAGAGGTTTGTTAATTTGTTTGCTTGTTCTGGCTTTTTGGCTCTCCCCTGGTAGTGCTCAGGGGTTACTCCTGGTTCTGTGCTCAGGAATTACTCCTGGTGTTGCACAGGGGACCATATGGGATGCTGGGGATCGAACTGGGGTCAACCGCGCGCAAGGCAAATTCCCTGCCATTGTACCAAGGCTCCAACCCCATGTGCAGAGTTCTGGAGGCCTCTCCCAGAGATTCTTGACTAACCCGCCTGTGGTTCAAAGCAAGAGCCCAGGAATGGGCTGCTCAGGCTCCTCGGCTGGTGCTTGGAGCCTCCAGGGCTGCAATCTCTGGTTCCAGTTATTGACCCAGGGTCAGCTACATGACAAGCCTTAACCCTTATGCATTATCTCTCTGGTCTTTCAGATTTTTTAAAAAACATTTGAACATTCTTTTTTTTTTTCATTTTGGGTCACTCCCTCTGGTAATCTAAACCAGGGCTCTCGCATGCAAAAACTTTGCTGCAGCCCTTTGAACCATCTTCTCCACTTGTGTTTGAGAATTCTTTATATGATACAGCTTTACAGTGAAAGAATTATTTTTAAATAGCTATTGTACATCAGGCATTTTAAACTTGTCATGGCTCTGGTGCTTGAAAAGTATATATTATTGGGATGGAGAGATAGTATAAATGTTAAGGCATTTGCCCTACATATGGTGACCCTGGAGAGATTCCCTCAACTGCATATGGTCCCCCATACCCTGCCAGGAGTGATCCTTGATCACCAATGGCTGTGTGGTACAAAAGCTAAATGACAACCAAAAAAGCACTATTCTTCCAGAGTAACAAGTAAGATTTCAGGGGGCAGAGAGCTAGTACAGGAGTTACGTTACCTTGCATGCAGCTGACCCTGGTTGTAACTCTGGCATCACATATGGTCCCCTGAGCACTGCCAGAAGTGACCCCTAAGCACAGAGCCAGGAATAAATCTTGAGCACAACCAGGTGATACCTCAAAACCAAAGGGAGAAGAAGCCAAAAAAACAAAAAATCTTTTAAAGGTTTTTTTTTTTATGTTGGTGTCTTTTTGTTCCTATTAAATTTTAAATTGGGGAACAAGTATTACTTCATATAAAATACAGAAAGCCACATGTATTTAAAATGCTGAGTAATTCTGTGTTTGTTGAAAATTATACATATGGTAAGAGGCAGAAGAGGGACTCAGTTCAGAAATTGAGTCCAAAATATATATTATTTTCATAAATCAAATTGTTTTACCTGTTCTGTGATACTTTCCTTTCAGTACACCCTATTTTATTTCTACATTTTGTCTTACAGTTATTCCTTTGTGGGTTTTATAGTAGGGAATTGGGAGTTAGAATATGTATTTATTCAATAGATTTTGCTTCGCATCTTAATTATTTTGCACTTTAAGGTCATGTACTATGTGTTGGGAATATAACAGTGAACTAGACAGACATCATCTATATGAAAATTGCCTCTTTATGTTCTTCAAGTGCCTTAATCTTTGTATTACTGTTTATGTTCCTATGATTAAATGTGAAAGGTCTGAAGTTCAGCTATTAACTTATTCTTCTGTTCACTGGCAATTAGCGTATGAATCTAGTTATATCATATATAGTGGGTTTGTTGGGAGTCTTAGATTGAACCATGAGAGTTTGTTATTTCTGTAAGTCTAAAGTCAATTAAAATCGGATACTGGAAATATACAATCTAATATAATTAAAGCTTTCAGAATATTGCCTGACACAAAATATTAGCTAGTAATATTATTTTTAAATGATTATATAGAAACCTTAAGAAGTTTGGACATAGTGTGAGGTTTCTCAAATTTAATCAGAAATACTTATTAGATTGTAGTGCTGCAAAGATATAATTTCTGACAACTGTGTAGTTGAAATGAATTGATTTTGTCACAGATGAATCTTCTAAACATCTGGCTACTGCTTACCTTGTAGAGTTCATTCAAAAACTGCTAAAATCTAAAAGCTGGAGAGATGGCTTTTAATTGGCCTTTCCTTATAAATCATAAGATTTAATTTACCTAAATTTAAATCAAATTTTGTATTATTATAAACATGTATTTATATAGTTTTACATACTGTAAATTTGTTCTAATACATTATACAATCCAGTGGTTTTTCGTATATTTATAAATATACATAGTGGTAACGTCTCCATTGGAGACTTTGTTGTTACTGTGTCTGGCATATCGAATACTCTCGGTAGCTTGCCGGGCTCTCCGAGAGGGGCGGAGGAATCGAACTCGGGTCGGCCATGTTGGCCGCTTGTAAGGCGAATGCCCTACCCGCTGTGCTATCGCTCCAGCCAATTAGCACCCCACTGTCTTGTCCCAAAACTTGTAATCCTTAAATGGAAGTCTGGACCTACTAATTGAGATTACTCCTCAGATTTCTTCCTTTCAAGCCCTAGAAATCAACTTTTTGTCTTTATCTATTTATATGGACAGCTTAAATAAATAAACATACAACATGTCTCCTTTTGAGTCTAGCTTTTGACTCAGCACATATTCATGGTTCTTTCACGGTGTCCTATATATCAGTAACTCATTCATTTTTTTACATACAAAGTAATTCATTGTACATGAATGTGCATTTTATTTATCATCAGGTTATATGTGAATTGTTTCTTCTTTTAGCTCTTACGAATTATGTTACTGTGCACATCCATGTCCCGGTTTTTGTTGGCCATATGTGTTATTTAGTTTGGATGTTACCTTGAATTTGTGATTACTATATGTTGTTGCTCTTGCCTGTTTAGTGATTTGACTGAACCGATTCCATAAACTTTGAATTATTTGTCATAGGCTGCCACTTTTGAAGTTTGCTTTGTTAATTTAATTAAGATCAGCTAACATTTCTTTGTCATTTTCATGCTTATTACATCCCCTCCTGCTGCTTTAGGTAGCTAGAATGTTAGATAATTTCTGTTAATCGTTTTTTGATATTTTTTCTGGGAAGAAGAATGTTTGCAGAATGGGAGCTTTGAGTCAGGTGAGATAAAGACAAGATTTTTATTAGAAGTTTTCAGTTCTCTGGGTCCAGTTCCAGCGACTTTTGGTTAACTCTAAATAATTTCTGTTGAACAAGCACTCTTTTTGTTAGTTGAGCCTTTGGTTAATTTCCAGAATTCTAAAAAAGTTGAATTTGGTAATATTTTTAGAAATCTTTAGGGGTATTTTTTGGGGAGACAGTTATTGAAATTCATTCAAAAGCGCACATCTTATTGTTGTTGATATTTTAGAAATGTTAAACATGAGAGGACTGGGGCAATAAGACAGTGGGTAGGGCATTTGCCTTGCACACGGCCGACCTGGGTTTGATCCTCAGCATCTCATATGGTCCCCCAAGTATCACCAGGAGTAATTCCTGAGTGCAGGCCCAGGAGTAACCCCTGAGCATTGTTGCCAGATGTGAACAAAACAAAAAAAGGAAAAAAGGAAATGTTAGACATGGAACAATTTCTGATCTTCAATTTTGTTGAAAAAATACTAGGAATCCTTATTATTAATAATCTAATAAGTTTATATTAGAATTTTGTAGTGATTAAACAAACTCATTGACTAATTATGTTATATACTACTTTATTCTGTATTTATTGAGCACTTATTTTCTAATAAAACTAAAGGATATTAAATAAAGACATACAGTCTTCGTTTCAAAGATTCTAGGTTTAGTGGAATTTTAAAAAAATCAAAACAGCTCTTTAAGAGTCTGTCTCACAGTGATTAAATAAAAAAGTTAAAAAAAATAAATAACTGTTAGAAAGTATGAATGTCTAATAGGAAGACCTATTAGAAGTCGTACCATTTCCATCCTTGCCTATATCTCTAGGGCAGACACGTTCACACTTCAACTGTCCTGATAATATTATCATCACCATTATTATTTTAACATATTCAGTTTCTTTATTGAAGAAGAATAATCTTTACAAATATAATTCTCCTCTCAGAGCCTTTACGTATTTTGTTCCTTTTCCTATAGAAAAATGTATTCTCCCACTTCTAGCTGACTTCTGATCGTTGTTATAATCTGCTTAAATATCTCAGTGTGGCTCTCCTAATGACTTGTTTTGAATTACATTTTGTTTACTTTATATTTTCCACTCATGATCTTTGTCACCAGACTTTTATATTTTATTTTCATTTGCAGTTCTGTGATCTACAGTACTGTTCATGGCGGGGTTTCATTCATAAAACATTCCAACCCCACACACTCCACCAGAGTGTCTGCTTCCCTCCCCACTGTCTCAGGGTCCTCTTCCCCGCTCCCACCCCCTTGGTTCCTTCTCCCCTCCATCCGTTCTGTAGTTCTGACTGGAGCCAATCTATCTCTTCTATTAGAACTAATTATAGAGGATAGAGCTATAGCACAGCAGGTAGGGTGTTTGCCTTACAACGTGGCTCACCCAGGTTCGATTCCCAACATTCCATACGGTCCCCCGAGCACCGCAAGGAGTGATTCCTGAGTGCATGAGCCAGGAGTAACCCCTGTGCAACGTCAGGTGTGACCCAAAAAGAAAAGAAACTAATTATAGTTCTATAAGTTTAGCTTAATTCTTTGGTTTTGTTGCTTTGGGCCATTTGCTATTCTTTTTTTTTTTTTTTAATTTTTATTAGTGAAACACCATGAGGTACAGTTGTAGACTTCCAAATTTTTGTGCTTGGGTTTCGATTATACAGTGATCAAATACCCATCCCTCCACCAGTGCCCATTCTCCACCACCATGGATCCCAGTATTCCTCCCACACCCATCCCCCCATCCCACCCTGCCTCTGTGGCAGGGCATTCCCTTTTGTTCTCTCTCTCCTTTTGGGTGTTGTGGTCTGCAAAAGAGGCATTGAGTTATTCTTATGCTATGTTTATATACCACATGTGCAAGATCATTCTTTATCTTTCCCTCGCTTTTGGCTGACTTCACTCAACATGCTGCCCTTTCTAGTTCCATCTACATACCGGAAGGTTGAGTGATTTCGTTTCTTCTTACAGACAAGTTAGATACTCCTAAATTCAGATAAAAAGAGGTCGGCTAATCTAGGGTAACAATAGTGACATCAGATGCAAAAACCTAGAAATAAGGACATATGGCTTAGGAGAATGATTCACAGCACTTTGGCTTTATGACACCTATGGACTCTTAAAATGAAGAACTACAAATGGTTGTGTCTTTGATAGTTTAATAGAAATTATTCCTATTTTATGTTAAAATTTAAACTAATTAAAAAGCTGAATATCCTTAGTGTGCCCAAAATATTGCAAATGAATTTATGTAATATATGTAATAATTTTGAAAATAACCTTATTTTCCAAAACAAAAAATACAGTGATGAATGGTAGTTTTTCATTCTTCAAACCCCTTTAATATTTGACTTAATCAGAGATACCAGCAAGGTTCTTACATCTGCTTTTTAATTCAGTCTGTTGTAATATGTTAAAATTTGTGAAGAAAATCTAATTCAGATATGTGTTTAGAAATGAAACATTTTATGGCTTTTGGAATAGTTTAGAATATTTTTCTTTGACTTTAAACAACTTAATTTGTTGTAATTGTCAGGTCATAAAATCTGTCAGTAAACTTTATACTTTATTACAGTAAACTCCATTGATCTATTTGCATTTTAAATTGGTTTCTTACCTGTGTATGACATCATGCATTGGTCATTTGGAAGGTATTGGATAATTTTAAAGCATCCAAATGTCAACATATTTCATTATACAATATAAAAATAGATTTTTTTATTATCACTTGGTTCATTAGAAATATCTTTAAACACTGGGAAACTTAAATTTATAGAGGCAGATACAAATTACACAAAATTCTAAATCTTCGCTAGAAAGCTCATGTTTTCTCATTAGCAACAAATCCTGCCAGTTATTTCCTCTGATATGCCAAAGTTTATTTCACGTCTGATAAAATATGTCTTAATATAAAAATTTGAATAACAATAGGATAAGAGCTAACAGATTTCCTAGGGTTACATAGGTAGTAAGTTGCTAGAAACGAGGACTTTTTTGTTGTTGTTGTTTTGTTGTATTTCCCATGTCTGAATAATTTGGGCTTGCTAGTGCATGTTCTTAGAATAGTGTATTGTGACATTTTTCCTAGAGAGCATGAATGGTTTAAAGAAGATTTGCCCAGTTACTTATTTCCTGAAGACCCCTCCTACGACGCTAATGTCATTGACGACGAGGCTGTGAAAGAAGTGTGTGAGAAATTTGAGTGTACAGAATCAGAAGTAATGAACAGCTTGTACAGTGGTGACCCTCAAGACCAGCTTGCAGTGGCTTACCATCTTATCATTGACAATCGGAGAATAATGAACCAAGCCAGTGAGTTCTACCTCGCCTCCAGCCCCCCAACTGGTTCTTTTATGGATGATAGTGCCATGCATATACCCCCAGGACTGAAACCACATCCCGAAAGGATGCCACCTCTCATCGCAGACAGCCCTAAAGCGCGATGCCCCCTGGATGCTCTGAATACCACGAAGCCCAAATCTTTAGCTGTGAAAAAGGCTAAGTGGCATCTTGGAATAAGAAGTCAAAGCAAGCCATATGACATTATGGCTGAAGTTTACCGTGCTATGAAGCAGCTGGATTTTGAATGGAAGGTAGGGAATTCTAGTATTTTAGTATTATTTGTGGAAGCCATATTTGTTCTATATAGTAAAATGTCTGAGTAGAGATGACTAAGGTCATCTGACTAAGATTGATTAAATAAATTGATTTAGATATAAACTTAGCAATCTTGATATCTGACTGATAAATTCTATTCCACCCCGCCCAGCCAAGGCTGTTCCATTAGCCTTCATGTTTTAGGGACTCACCCCCTCCTCCTGTCCATACCTTTAAAAGCACTTTTATTCAACTCACAAGTAATTTTCCTAATTGAGAAACCCTGTCTTAACTGGCTGCTGCATACAAACCTTAATTATATTTTCAGTCCATGTTGTATTTTATTTTTACTAGTGCACATATTCACTTCAATTCTATTTGTATGTATATGGGGAAAGGCAGTTTTTCATTTTTCTTATGCCTTTTATCTTTCTTTTTTGGAGGATTTTGAACATTTTAAAGGGAGATGTTTAAATACAGCATGTATCTTCTTTTCGATGTTTGGCTAAATCAGTTGTTATAATTCCAGGATTTCTATATGAAAGGAATGAAAAATTAAGTTCTATTCCCTTTCTTGAAATTGAAAAAAAACCCAGTAATGTTTAGGGACTAGGAGATAGTACAGTGGTTAGGGAACATGCTAGGCCTGCACCCTACCCATCTTCAAACATTAACAGAATATGCATAGTCCCCTGTGCATCTCTGGGTGCTGCCCTGGAGACCTCCAGCCCCCTGTACTGCTGAGAGGCTCTGGAAGGCCCCAGTACTAATCCCTGACACAACAAAGCCTCAACTGCAGCTCAGCCTTGGGCCTTGCATCGAACCACAGGCCCATAGGGCACCCAACACTACCTGGGAGTCACCCCCCACCACCTCCAAAAAAAAACTGTTTAAAATATTTTGGAAGTAACTTGATAAATAGTTTGAAAACCCATAATATATTTATTTATTTATTTATTTTGCTTTTTGGGTGACACCCGGCGATGCCCAAGGGTTACTCCTGGTTCATGCACTCAGGTATTACTCCTGGCGGTGCTCAGGGGACCACATGGGATGCTGGGAATTGAACCTGGGTTGGCCATGTGCTTAACAAATGCCCTACCCGCTGTGCTATCACTTCAGCCTCGAAAACCCATAATCTTGATCTTAGCTACCATTTTCTTTTCTGCAAAAGGTAAATATCTTCCTCACTTGAATATTGGGCTGGAGCGATAGCACAGCAGTAGGGCCTTTGCCTTACAAGCGGCAAACATGGCCAACCCGAGTTCGATTCCTCCACCCCTCTCTGAGAGCCCGGCAAGCTACCGAGAGTATCTCGCCCGCACGGCAGAGCCTGGCAAGCTACCCGTGACGGGTTCGATATGCCAAACACAGTAACAACAAAGTCTCCAATGGAGACGTTACTGGGCCCGCTTGAGCAAATCGATGAACAATGGGAGGACAGTGACAGTGACAGTGACAGTGACTTGAATATTATGATACTTATTTTTTTTACTGTATTTCTTACCTTAGCTTTATGCAGACCTTTAATACATCAGTTTCTCTTTATTCTTTTCTTTCATATTTATTGGTAAAGATATTTAAGTTATACTGGACAATCCAAAATTATTAATGTTTTACATCAGGTGCATAATATGGTCTCATTTAATATGCACATATATATCAGATTCATATATATGATCTTCATTTAACTATACACAGTGTTTGTGGAGATTTTATAAAAATGTAGCATGCAAGATCAAAAAAAGGTCATTTGGAATTTCTTTCTCTGCACTTGACATATTTTTGGTCTTTACAAGAATATAAGATCAAAGGAAGATTGAAGGAAGTATTTTATGTCTTGATGTTTTCCTTTAAAGAAGATTTCCTGTTTTAGGTAGTGAATGCCTATCATCTTCGTGTAAGAAGAAAAAATCCAGTGACTGGCAATTATGTGAAAATGAGCTTGCAACTTTACTTGGTCGACAACAGAAGCTATCTTTTGGACTTTAAGAGCATTGATGGTAAGGATGCCGTGCAGGCATGCGCTCAGAGAAGATAAAACTTGCCACTAGTTGATAGGATGTTAGACATCATCTTAAAGGCTTGGTGGGTAGGTCTTCTGTACCAGTTTTTAAGTAACGTAGACTTGATAGAAATATAACTGAAATGAAAAGGATCAAAGTCACATAGAATATCGCTTTTCTGGCACTACTCTGTAAGGGCTCCCCTGCCACTAAAAAAGCCAGTCGAAGTATTGGCTGTGGAACCAGAGTGAAGAACCACAGGGAAGGGGTTGGAGAGCGAGTAGAGTGGGTAAGGCACCTGCCTTGCACACGGCCCTGCCAGGACTAATCCCCGAGCACAGAGCCAGGGGTGAGCTCTGAGCACAGCCTTGAGTTGCCCAGACTCCCATCCACATCCGGGATAAAGACCCCCAGAGAAATAGTCTAGAATTACTGATCTTGTCAGGTGCTTTGGCACAGTTTTCCATTCGTATTTTATAGTTTTAGCCCTATACTTTCTAAATGTCCCCTGGATAAACTTATCATGGGTGCCCAAGGTGACTCCCCCAAGCTTCTCCTGGGCTTTAAGTGCCTGTAGCTGTCCAGGAGTGGAAAGGATTTGGAAGGTAGTCTGTCAGAGTTCTTAGTGTGTGTTCACCCAGCTACACTGAATGTGACCATTCTGTTCAGAGGCCTGAGTGGGTAAGATGCTGGCCTTGCATGTGACCAACCCAGGTTTGATCCCTGGCACCCCATCTGAGCCAGGATAATCCGTGAGCACCACTGGGTGTGTGACCCAAAATCAGAAACAAAATTAGCCAGAGTTCTTATTAAATTTAGGGAACTAACACAGACCTACAAAATCAGTCTCTCTATAAATCCCAGCTTTTAGAAGATTTATTTTTCCCTTTTAAATAATATTTCCCATCACATCCCAGTTATGCTACTATGGATCGAAGATTCAGAACCACTATGTGATGGTAACTTTGGCTTCTATCTTAGTGATTTTTAAAAATTAATGTCCTTCAAGCAAATCAGCCTTTAAAATGTGTTTTCTTCAAATGTAGGGATATCAGCTTGATTGAAAGGTTAATGATGAGTATTGAGACAGATTGAGGAGTAACATGTTAAGTGCTGTGACTAATGTCCATCATGGTTGTGGAGAGAGGAGGTATTGCTGTGCTGCTTCTGAGGTACTGTAAGACGACATTTCAAGTGGCCCTGGCTCTTCTGCGTTTCCTTAAGGCTGTGGCCATAGCATCATCATGGGCCGGCCTCAGGCAAGCCCAACTCTGACTGCAGTTGCTCTTCTTTGGTCCATTCCAGATGAGGTGATGGAGCAGAGGTCCGGTTCCTCAACACCCCAGCGTTCCTGTTCCACGGCTGGCCTACACAGACCAAGATCGAGTTTCGATTCTGCCACTGCGGAGAGCCACTCACTGTCCGGTTCTCTCACTGGCTCTTTAACGGGAAGCACCGTATCTTCAGTTCCACCTCGCCTGGGCAGTCACACCATGGATTTTTTTGAAATGTGTGCCAGTTTGATCACCACTTTGGCCCGCTAATGAGTTTTCTCTGGTTTCTGTCTTTCTGTTAGCACACTGTGAAAATCAGATATATTCTTTAAATGACAATCTTACAGATATCACAGATTCTGCAGTACTAAGAGACGCGGACGTCTCTAGGGATGCTCAGTGCCATTGAAATGACTGAAAACAAAAAACCAAGCCTGATGTTTTATTTACCCGTAGACATCTGTAGTTTTATTTTGACTATGATAAATTCACATAGGCAGTGTTTTTAACAGGTGGATGCTGACGAGGATTATTGCTAATTTAAAATTGTGAGTTCACCACAGATGATTAATACACCTTTGTTGGTGAATCATCTCAGTTGAAGGGTGCTTTGGCAAAACTTCCTTGCTTTACTATTCATTGTACATAAATTCAGTTTACTTTCTAAATTTCAATAGGCTTTAAGCTCTGTTTATGTGCCTCGTTCTCTTGCACAAGATTGAAAAATAACATAACCGTAAGTATGTAAATAATTGGAGCTTGAAAATCTACCCCTCAAATTTCAGAAGCCAACATCTATCCGTTTTAGCAAATATTATGTAGTGCTCCTTGGAGGAACTGGGATTCTGAAACAGGCAGTTGGGATTTTGAGTTTTCTTTATATATATATAAAAAAAGCTATAACCACTTGAACTTCTGTCTTAAGATGTCACTGAAAAATATTTTTTTATCCAAAGAGTCTTCATGTTTCTGCTCAGTATTGGAATGTCTGGAATCGCAAAAACTTTTGTCTTTCCCAGCATTTATATTCTTTTAAACCATGCCTTCAGAATCTACCTTTTAAAGTTCTTTTTCTGCTATCTTTATTTTTGCACTTCACCAAGCATGAAAACCCAGATAAAACATTCAGCAGTCCTTAAAAGAGAACTATTATCTTTGATCTTGTTCTCTTTGTGTGTATGTGTGTGTTGAAGCTATCCACCCTCTTTAGTCACTCTTGTTTTTGTTCATTGTTTGGTCTTTAGTGACTGATTGACTTGGCTTTTTAATCTTTTCTTGTTCTCTTTCTTTGTTCTTTCTGTATCTTGGTTGCTATCAATCCAATTTGAAGATATTGTTCTGGCCCTAAGGGCTTTTGTGTACTTTCAGAACAGGTAGGCTGTGACCTCCATTGTTGAACCTGTTAGGGCAGAGAAGCCTTAAATATTAAAAAAAAATCTCTTGAATAAATATATGTATTGTTTACATATGTACATATATATTCACACATGAGTGCTTTTAAAGAAAAAACCAAACAGTTTTGCTTTGTGCAGGTTTTTATTCATTGAAAAACAAAAACCTATATAAAGCAGGGTAAATCATAGTTTATTTTTTGTTTTAGTAAAAGTATTTAATTTTTAAATTATACTTTATCTAATTTGTATTTATTCATTTGCTTTATTTTATAATTAACAATATGATTCCGACTCCTACTAGGAAAGATTAAGCTCTTGAAAACAAAAAAATGGCATTGCCTTGACACAATTTCTCTGCCAAAAGTGATGCATTACCTATCAAGAAGCAAATGAGAAGGTTAAACCAAGTTTCCCTCATGCTGTAGAACACGGCCTGTCTCTCTTTAGTCTGGATCAGGAGTTTTTAGCGTGTCACATAATATTATTTTGTAGAATCATTTTAAATGGTGTTAAATAACTTGTAAATCTAATTTCTTAGTTTCAAAATGAAAGGAATGTTTGCCAATTGAGGGGGAGGGCGGTGACGCGCAGCGATTTGAAGTAGAAACCTTTGAAAGATCGCCATCTAGTGGCAACAGCCTGTCATTATTTTTTAGAGATGAGCGGTTCTGTGGCTTCAGTCTGATGTGCATTGTCCCGGCCTCTCCAAAAGTGTCACGACCTTTTTGGGGAGCCTTATCAGGGCCAACTCATCTGTCTAAAAACAGGATGACCTTAAAAATAGGGAGCTATTTTTACTAGTGACAAAATCCACATTTTTTGAAGTCAGAAAGAATCCAGTGGCATTTTTACTTTGTAAATCTAGATATTCGAAACCTCAATCAGAATTGCTTTTTTTTTATTTTTTGGTTTGTTTATTTTATGGCATTTGAGAAAAGTTGCTTAAAATGTTTTTATTCTGGCAAGTATTTATGAATCTGTATAATTTGGTACATGTTGAATTTAGGAGAACTAAGGGTCACATTTTGAGTTCTTCTATGCTTGAAATTCGAAATAAATCCCAGCTATACTGTGAATCCGGATGGCATAGTAAACTGGCAGAATTTCAGGAGGCATAGCTGGGCACAATAGGGGCTAGAACATTACTACAGGAGGACTTTTATTGCTAATGGGCAGGAAGAAGGACAGAATTATTTACTAATTCAAAATTCTTACATTTCAGTGTTCTGAACTAATTAAGCTGTGGGTGTTGTTATGGATGTGGTGATAAAACTGAAATAGGAACAACTTCTTCCATTTAAGATTCTGGAGGGGGGGTTCAGCTGTTAGGTTATAGATCAGACCTTCTCAGTAGATGGGAATGGGTGCCATATTGCTCTAGAATAACATTTCCCAGACCACATCCTGTGAGACGCAGTGGCCTATATGACATGCTCTCCTGCTGGAGGAAGACAGTGTATAAGAAGATCAAGGACTTGGATGGGTGCTGCTATGAAAAAGGAGACCTTTTTGCCCCAGTTTTAAAATTTACGATCTCTCTAAGTTAACCATCGTATGGGGACTTTGAAAACATGAAAAAAAATTTGCTCGATTTTGCTTGAGTGGGCCCAGTAACGTCTCCATTGGAGACTTGTTGTTACTGTGTCTGGCATATCAAATACGTCTCGGGGAGCTTGCCAGGCTCTGCCGTGCGGGCGAGATACTCTCGGTAGCTTGCCGGGCTCTCTGAGAGGGGCGGAGGAATGAAAAAAAATTAAAACTTATTATAGCTAAGTCAGTTACAGTAGTTTTAATATTTATGGTGTTGATTGGGAAAAATTGGGGGCAGAGAGATAGCACAGTGGGTAAGGCACTCGCCTTGCATGTGGGCAACCTGGCGGCTGTACCCAGCTAATCAGGTATGAATGAGCCTGTGTGCCTTGCCTTGCCTTGATTAGGAAATTTTTTTTAGGGAATTGTTTTTCCTAGGTTTCCAAATTAGGATAGCTGAGACTACAATGAAGAGGACTTTCTTCGCCCTAATAGGTTGTTGAAGAAAATCTGGCTAAAAATCAGAAATCTGTTTCATTTCAGCCTACAGACATATTCATCTTGAGCAAATACTGGAATAATTGGCATTTCGTGTCTGCATCTTGCTTCAGTACCTTGGTTTTCTTCATCAGGTTGCAGTATTAATTGGAAGCAAAAAATATTCTTTTGTGCGTTGACTAGATAATGCAAAACCTAAGTTTACTTGGTGACTGTTTTGTACATACTTTACACTAGATGCCATATTTGATCTAATCCCTGTTTAACCTCTGATGTAGGAGCAGGTAGAATCTCAAATTGAGCAGGGAGGCAAGGTGGGAAGAAAATTGTGGGGATTTGATTTTGATCTCTTAAGAGGCACTTTTATTATTATTATTATTATTATTATTATTTTGCTTTTTGGGTCACACCCAGTAATGCACAGGGGTTACTCCTGGCTCTGCACTCAGGAATCACTCCTGGCAGTGCTTGGGGGACCATATGGGATGCTGGGAATCGAACCCGGGTTGGCCGTGTGCAAGGCAAACACCCTACCTGCTATGCTATCGCTCCAGCCCCCCAAAACACTTTTAGAACCTCAACTCTTCATATTCCTTGATAACAAACCACTTCTAAAAAGAATCCAGGAACTGAAATGAGAAAATAAAAGTGTTTCTAATGTCTGGGAAATGTCTAACATATTACAGACCAGGCTTTATTCCCTTCAGATAGGTTTACAAGATAGAAACATGATTCTGAGCTGCTTTCTCTTATTCTCTAGTCAGTTTGTGCTCAGGGAATGCAAATTGATTTTTAATATTAAATGAGATACATCTGAGAAAAGAATCACAGACAACTCATTCAGGTGTTTTGGCTCCTTGGTCTAGCCTCTGTTCTGTGCTCTATGCTAAGTTAACACTACTACTTCGATTTATAAAATATAAAGCCTGGAACATGCCTGCCTACCGCAGTTCCTGTACTTTGTTCACTGGTTAATCATTCAAACTTTGTTATTGGCTCTGAGACCTCAGTATTGCAATGCGAGGCCTGTTCACTGTTTTCTGTCTTTTATTTATTTTCACAAACTCTCACCTTTTCCATCTGGCATTCCTTTACTTTATTGTCCTGTTACTCTGTGTCTTCCTAAGTAGGGAATGTAGCCTATCTTAATAATAGTTCTTAGAATTGCTATTAAAAATTCTAGATGAGGGATCTGTGCAATCCGTTGTTGCAAATGACCAATTCATTTCTGGTCAGTCGCAGCCTCTTTGGGGCCTCATTTTTGCGGTCTCTGAATGGGAAGGGGTGATCTCTGATGCACCTTTGAGCTTTAAAGTCCTGTCTTTGCCTTTTCACGTGACTTTTGTTTAGTGTTCATTTTTTATAGGGAATTTTTATACTAGAGTGAATGTCCTATATTTGTCTGATGAGGAAGTTAAAGGTAAAATACTTGAATATTTTTCTCTAAATAGGGCTGCCCTCCAGAATATAAATGGCAGAAATCTTCCAGGAAACCAAACAGGAGAATATCATGTGTACTTGGTATAAAGTCAAACATTACCAATTTGGAGTGATGGAAGCATTCCACATGCTTTCATAGTATCTAAATCTACAGACCCTCTTTATCTCTTATCTTGTTTAATACAATATAGTAACCTTGTGATGAAAGCATTTTCCATATGAGGAAGCAGGATCAGAAAGCTCTCTGTAAAGCTATAATGCCATGTAAGTATTCAGTGACAATCTCTGCCCTTCACAGGCTGCCTTTCTCTGGGGAAAAACAGTCCCAGTCACTGAACTGTTCAAGTAGTTGAGTAATAAAAATAAGCAAATGGCTTGCTTTCAAGTCTTAGGGTGACATCAAGTAGTCTTAACAGAGTATTTCTTAGAACCATTTGATTGTACTCATTAGATAGAATTAGCTGAAGTATTTATGATTAGCATATTTGTTTTAAAAATATTTCTAAGTAACAGAGGGTGCTTAAGAATACTCAAGAGACTTTAGAATGTGATTCTTTCTGTGATTTTATT